TTTTTGAGACAGGGTCTCCTGTAGCCCCAGCTGTCCTGGAATTCACTATGTAGACCAGGCTGGCCTTGAACTCACAGAGATCTGCTTGCCTCTGCCTCCCAAGCACTGTGATTAAAGGCGTGCACCACCACCCCCAGTGAGATAGATATCTTTCTTTTAATTGTTGAGTTATAAGAACTGTTTATAAATATACTAGTTTTCTTGTTGAATACAAAATTTTCAAATATTTTCTCTGATACTTTAAATTTTCCTTTCATTTTCTTCAGTTTTGACCAAGTCCCTGTATTATTGTTTGTCTTTGTTTGTGTTCTTGATATAGCTAAAAGGGTAATTGTCCAGTCTGAAGTTACAAAGATGTACTCTTATTTTTTTCTAAGATTTTTTTTTTAACTTTTAGATTTTACATTTAGGTCTGTGGTCTGTTTTGAGTTTATGTTTGTAAGGATTTGATGTATAGGTTCAACTTCATTCATATACATGTAGATATTTGTCCCAGCACCATTTGTTATAAAGACTATTTTTACCCATTGAATTGTTTTGGCACCCTTGTTAAAAAAAAGCAATTGACTATGAGGGTTTATTTCTAGATTCCCCCAGGTCTGTTTTGTTGATCTGTATGTTTTTTCTTAAGCCCAGGACTCTTGGAGTTTTGATCCATTTTTCTTAAATCTCATGAACTACAGCTTTGTAGTGAGTTTAGTGGGATTTGGAGGGGAGGGTTGGTTTTGGTTTGGTTTGGTTGGTTGGTTGGTTAGTTGATTGGTTTTTTTGAGACAGGGTCTCATTATATAGCACTGGCTGGCTTGGAGACCAGGCTGACCTTGAACTCACAGAGATCCACCTGCCTCTGCCTCCCCAGTGCTTATTATTAAAGTCATGTGCTGTCATGACCATCCTTTATAGTGAATTTTGTTTGTTTGTTTGTTTGGTTGGTTGGTTGATTGGTTGGTTTTGGTGTTTTGAGACAGGGTTACCCTGTAGCCCCTGTTGGCCTGGAACTCACCATGTAGACCAGGTTGACTTCAATCTCACAGAGATCCGCCTGCTTCTGCCTCCCAAGTGCTAAGTCTAAAGGCCTGTGCCACCACTCCTGGCTATGGTAAGTTTGAGGTAAAGAAATCTCTAGTATGTTCCTTCTGCTGCAGGGTTCTAGTGGTTGTTCTTGTTCCTTGTGTTTCCAATGTGCATTTCAAGGTTAGCTGGGAATAGTTCTGTTTTTCCTAAAGGTGGATGGGATTTTTGTAGGCATTACCTTGGAACTGTATTAAATCTTCAATCTGTAGCCATGTTATGCCTTTACTTTTGTTTTGGTGACCCCAGATTTGTTTTGGTGTTTCATTGTTTTCAGTGTACCTATGTTGTTCTTTTTTATTAAATTATTCCTAAGTGTGTAGTCTTTTTCAATTGAAATGTATTTGTAATTGGAATCCTGTGGTCACCTCCAGTGGCGCCCACTCCTCCATTCTCACCGGCACCTCTCCTTCATTCTCACGGGTGTCGAGGCTGCTCCTCTGCTTGCCTTGGGCTGAGGCCACTCTTCTGCCTGCCCTGGGCTGCGGCTGCTTTTCTGCTCGCCTGGCACTGAGACCACTCTTCTGCTCGCCCAGTGCCACCTTCTGTCATCTCTGCTTCTGCCTGGTCTCAGACCCCAGGGCTGGTGAGGAGACTGTGTCAGCGGAGCCGCATTAAGACACAGGAGACTAGGTTCAGTGACACAGATCTGCTTTATTGTAGGAAGGCACAAGCTTATATAGGGGTAGTGGTCCAATCACAGCGCAGCAAGTAGGATACCTTATTAGCTAACAGACTTAGTGTCCTATTAGCATAACAGACTTAACGTCCTATCACAGAATAGCAGGTAGGATGTCTCAATAGCATAATGGGTTTCAGATTACAGCCTGGATTCCTGGAAACCACGTGACCCTGCCTGTTGTAATATCTAAGTGTTGCAATTTTGGATTCCAAGGGTGGTGATTAGGGAGTGGCGAACTCTAGGCATCAGTCTCATGATCTGCCAATGGGAGCAAATGTCACAAGGCAGCGGTCAGGCTGTTGCCTCAGGCCTGCTGTATGGCTGTCAATAAGACTTTCACCCTAGGCTCAAGCCTGTCTCCCACAGAATCCATTGTTAATTGAATTCTTATTTTTATTTCCAAGCTGCACATAATGAGTATCTAGAAATGCAATTGAATCTGTCTGTTTACCTTATATCCTGAAGCCAGCCTCACTATGCTTATTTATTTTAGATCTTTATAATGTGATACAAGAGAAAGTCATATGCTGTGACTTAGAAGGACAATTTGTTTTTCATTTTTTTAGGAATGGTAGCTCTAGGATACATCAATGAAGCTATAGATGAAAGAAATGCTTTAAAGACTTTAGATACCTTGATGTTACCCAATGCTAAGATCAAAGATGTGGACCCAGAACTCGCCCAGCACTACCAGGATCTTTTGTACCATGCAAAATCACAGAAACTTCAGGTAGGTTTTAGTATATTTGTTTCTTTTAAGTTTGTGGGGTGAGAGGGAGGAGTTTTGGCCCATTTTTCTTAAATCTCATGAGCTGCTTATCCCATTGAATGAAAATGAAAATAATGTGTATTTTCCTGGTGCCAAACAATAAGGGAAAGCTGGATCCAGAACTGGTGATTCTTTTCATGAAACTTGGTTATAGGTAAATTCTTGGACAGAATGTAATTCCTTGGATATTTCCTGAGTATATCCCATGTGCCCAGTGCAGTACATACCATCTGGGAGGGGGAAGGGGATGCAGAGGGCACATGGTGCTATTTGAGCATCCTCTGTCCTTATCTTCAAGATGCTCAGGAGCTTGTTGAGCAAGGGCATGCCATAGGAGCAGCAAGAAAGCAGGAGAGGGCAAGACTTGAGATTATTGTGCTCAAGAATCTTAAGAGAAGTTGGCAGGAAATATAATGGCAATTGTGCCTGAAGGGGAAGAAAGAGGTGGGTGGGCAGGTGGGTGCTGGGGGTCAGCACAGCATGGGCAGTGCTCGGCAGGCATCAGCATGCTCTGCTCCTGGCATGGGAGGAGACTCATCTGGAGTCAGATAAAGAACAGTGATGTTACCTGGAAGTAGAAATTGTACTGATGGGTCCCATCAATACCCAGTGCTCTTAGAAAGTTGCTGGGCTTAGTGTTGAGACTCACAGGACTGGTCACTTGAGAATGGAAGTGATGTAGCCATTGTTGTCTGCCATAGCCTCAAGTCCAAGTCCAAGGGAAAGAGTGGGCAGCTTCTCTGTATACCCAGAACCTTGGAACTGCCTCATCTGAAACAGAACAAGCACTCCTGATTAGAGTACATGCATATTGAGTACCTCTTGTTTGCCAGCATGATAGTGGTATTTGAAGCAGGTCTCATTTACTTCTCGTAACAGCCCCTTGAATCATATCATCGTCATTGCCAGTTTTGAGATAGTGAGCTGGAATTAAACAATTGTGTCAATGGTAGATGGCAGAATACCAGAATTGACAGGGAATTTCTGGCTTTGGAGACAGGTAGGCAACATTCACACTCTGTGGCCTCAGTCCAGCTACCACATCTCTGTATACTCATTTACATATGCATAAAATTAGAACAATAATATTTGTCTTTTTGGATTATAAGGAGGGTTAAATAAGAATATATAATATATGTATGTTCTCTTCTCTCAAGATATTAATGACATTATGAATATGTGTGTATAATTTGTGTGTGCATGAGAGGGAGAGGTTGACTGTGTTTAGCTATAACATTTAACCTGCAGCCTGACACCAAAACAAATAAATAATAACAACGATAAACACTGGCTTAAATAACAAAGCTATTATTATTGAAGTCTTCTATGACCTCCCAACCCCTTCATCCAAAAAGTGATTAGTCCTGGGATTACAATAAGTTGATCTGGTTGGGAACAAATATGACGGTGTGTTAAGTGTTGGGGAGAGATGTTTCTCATAGCTCTGTATACAGTAAAACCAAGATTGACCTAAATAGATTCCTTTTCTTTTTTCTTGTCAGTGCTAAGGATCAAGCCTAGGGTCATGTCCATGTTAGACAAGTGTTTTAACTACTGGGCAACATCCTCAATCCAACAAATGACCTAAAGGGTAAACAAAGCATACTTCCACATACATACAAATGAGATACGTATCCTTGGAAGGGAGAGACATGTAGACACGTACAGTTAAATGTTCGCAAAGTATTTTGAAGGGAATATCTTCTGGGAGATTTGTTTCTTAATCTTTTTTTTCTATAATTTCAATTCAATTTTTTTAAGAATGCATATGATATTTATATTGGTAGATGCAAACTTTGTTTACACCATACTGCTAAACTGCCTATTGGACATGGAAAAATTTATGCCACAAGACAAGACCTTCTGCCAATGGGGAAAAGCAGGGCTGTGCTTTTCCAGGTACCATACTTCACAGAACTCTTACTCAGCTAAGCTTTAGCAACTGTGGAGTAGATGCTGTCTTACCTAAAAGGATGAGGTTGGGGCTTGGAGTGAATGTCAAGCCAAGATACAGCCCATAAAGGGCACAGTAAGGACTCAAAACCAAGCCTGTGTCTCCACATGCAGAGCAAGGAAAATGGGTCTCTTCTTTGATGGTCCAATGGAGGTGGCTGAGTCCAGGGCACATGACAAATTTTCAGCATTGACAGAGTTACTTGCTTTGGAAATAGACATGATTCAGATCCTGGCTATGTGACCTTAGTTAAGCCACCACATCTCCATACATTTATTTTCACATGTGTGAAGTAAGAATAAGAATACCTGTCTGATTATAATGATGGTTAAATAAGAATATATAATATATGCTGGGCGTGGTGGCACACACCTTTAATCCCAGCACTGAGAAGGCAGAGGCAGGTGGACCTCTGTGAGTTCGAGGCCAGCCTGGTCTATATAACAAGTTCCAGGCCAGCTGGGACTACAGGGAGACCCTGTCTCAAAAACACCAAAATATATATATATATATGTATATATATATATATATATATATATACACTAATATATTAATGGCATTTTGAATATGTATGTGCATAACTCTGTGTGTGTGTCTCTCTGAGTGTGTGTAGCTGTAGCCTTTAACATGGAGCCTAGGACCAAAAACACAAAAACTGTGTTTAACTAGTATTAACTAGTATTATTGAAGCCCCTTGTGGATGCCTCACAAGTTGAGAGTGGTGAATCCCAAGTCATGAAGTCCTCATGAGGCACAGGATATCGTCTGCTCACATACTTGGGTTCCTCTCTTTGAGGTAAGCACAACTCCACAAAGCTTTTTGTAGACTGATAGTGTGGATCTGCTCCAGAACATTGCACCAGAAAACTCTAGATCTAGACCGAACCCCACAGGACCCCCTCATGCACTCAGAAGGCTTCAAGAGCCCATGTGTCAGCAACTGTGTGTTTGACAACTGACCCATGTGTGGAAGCAGCATCATTAGAGTGTGATGAAGTTATTTGATGTGGAAGTGGGATCTTGGCACTAGCTTAAGAATCAAACTACTTTTATTGTATTGACCATTGCTAATGGATTTAAAACAATACGAGTCCAAGGAATGTTATATTTGGTTAAATTGCTGTTTTTACCAGTTTAGTTTCTAAGTTTGCTTATTTATTGACGCACTGGAGACGAAGCTTAGGACTGTATACATACTAGGCAAGTGCCGTTGACTAAGCTGTATCCCAGCCCCAGCCCACTCATTTTTAAACTTCTCAGTTTAAAAATAAGTTTAAAAGTTTAAACTTTTAATGCTCTTCTTCCCTTTAAAAAAAAAAATCTGATTCTATTTGTTCAGTTGTTTTTTAAAAACCTCTGCTAATTTGATTCCTGGAAAATTCCATTGTGCTTATTCAGTGGCACTTCTGCACATTGCACTCCCAAGGCCAAGCCTTGGGAGATAATAGACATAAAAGGATATTCCTGTATTATCAGTCTGAAGTAAAGATCATTCCAAAGAATACAGCCATTAAAGGTCACAGTGGATGCTTAGTTTAATCAAAGATTGAGGACCAGATTGATGAGGATTCTGGATATTTTAACAGTATGACCTTGTATAGGTACCAAATTCTTTTTGTCACAAGATTGGGTGCTGGGTACATTAGCATGTATTTAGCAAAGAGAGCACATTTTCTGTGTCTACGCACTGGGGACAGTGAATTGTGAGTGATTTAAAATTGAAGACAGTATCTGATAGCATATGAATTATACCTCATGAAAGAGTTCTGATTTATTCCTTGTACCACAAAAATTAAGTGTGCTTTTAGCAAGTGAATATGGCTGTATTTTCCCCTAAGATAAACTATTGCAACTAGTGACTTGGTTTTCAAAAATGAGTTCCTTCTATTGAAGTTTTCAGAATCTTAAAACTTACTCTATATTTTTCTTGCTTGCTTTAAGGTTTATATGACTTTTACTTTTTTTACATTTGTTTATTTATTGAGTGTGTACACTCATGTGCATGTGCCGCAAGTCTGTGTGTGATGGTCAGAGGACAACTTTGCAGGATTCAGTTCTCTCCTTCTACCATGTGAGAATTCTAGAGATCAAACTCAGGTCAACAGGTTTGCTGGCAAGTGTTACCCACTGGGCCCTCTTGCTGGCCCTAACTTTTACTTTTTATATAATCCCTTCTTTTTGTTTATTTTTTTAAGTTTTGGTACAAGTATATATTGTACATTGAGTACATTTCCCCTCACACCCCCTACCCTTACTGTTTTCATCCCCCTCCCATTAGTCCTCCTAAGACAGTTTTACTTTTACTTTTACTTTCATTATGTGTGTATGTCTATGTATTTAAGTATATATGTAAAAAAGTCAAAGTACCACAAATGAGAAAATATTTGTTCTGTGATGGGCCTAATTCAGTTACTCCAGTTAGATCCATCTTCCTGCAAATGACATAACTTCATCCTTTTAGGCTGAAAAGACTTCTGTTGCATTTATAGAACACATTTTCATTACCATTCTTCTTTTGTTAGACACCTGGCTGGTTCTATAATTTAGCTATGGTAAATAGTGCTATAAGAAATATTGATGTAGGGGCTGGAGAGATGGCTCAGCAGTTAAGAACACTGGCTGTTCTTGCAGAGGACCCAGGTTCAAATCCCAGCACCCACATGGTAGCTAACCACTGTCCAAAACTCCAGTTCCAGGGGATCCTGTACATAAGTGCAGGCAATACATTCATACACACAAAATAAATAAAAATAATAAATAAAATGTTTTTTAAAAAAGAAATATTGATGATGAAGCAATACTACAACATATAACTCATTAAAATTTTAAAGGGTTTTCTTTAAAAAAATTAAAATAGTAAATTAAAAAGAAATATTCGTGTGCAAGCATTTTTGTGATATGTTGACTTGGAGTCTGGAGGGTAAATTCATGTGCAAGTTTTCATTCAAATTTTATGAAATAAGAAACTACAGCACTCAAAACTATGCATTTAAAATGTGTTTTATTGTTTTGTTGATCATTACAAAGTTTATAGTTGGTCCATGTATCTACATACTTACAAATTCATCTCAGCAATACTTTATGCTCAAAAGTATTTTGTATTTGTATTTGCTAGTAGCACTCTGTCTTTACCCACTAATATATCTCCCATTTAATCTCTCAGCTAAGAGAAATCATCACTTATCTATAGGAATATACTGGAGATTTATAGCAAAATACTATTTCCCCGTTTAAAAATAAAGATGGAAAATAACTGGGAGAACTATTTTAAATTGCCAAATAACCTTATAAGTATATTCTTAGTTTAACTTCCATAGTTTTAAAAAATATTTTATTTTATTGTTTTTTTATTTTAGTATATTGCTTACATGCTTGTAAGTGCACCCATGTCATATAGTGCCCGAGGAGGTCAGAAGGGGAACTAAAGTTACAAATTGTTGTTAGCTGCCATGCAGGTGTTGGGAACCAAACACAGGTCCTTTGCTAGAGGCTAGAGCAGCCAGTGTTCTTAACTGCTGAGCCATCTCTCCAGGCCCATTGGCTTCCATGGTTTTGTTTTTTTGTTTTTTTTTTTAAACTTGCCTATTAGAAATGATATCTGAATGGACTTCCATGCTATTTGAATGCTTTGAGATTTTATTCTTTCATTTAGGCACACGCTGTGCAAAGCATTTCAACTCAGTCTCTCAGAGCCTGGCCCTGGAGTGACTACAAGAACCTCAAAGGAGGGAGAGTACAGACACCTCCATTATAGTCGTCCCTCGAGGGTGGGTTCCTAGCTTCTTGTAAATGCTAAGCTCTGCAGATGTCCGAAGTCTCTGTATAAAATGATGTTTAGATACAGCTTCCTCATATCCTACCATATATTTTTAGTTTTAACACTTAATACGATGTAAATGATGTATAAATAGTTGTGATATTGTGTTGTTTAGGGAACAATGAAAAGTCTATACATGTTCAGTAAATACAGTTTGTTTGTTTTTTAAAATATTTACAATGGTTACATCTGCAGATGTAAAACTTACAATAAAGAGGGCTGACTGTATAGATAACTTCATTGGTTATGGAACTAATATTTATAGGTAAATGGGTTTTGCATGCTTATTTGCATATAAGTGCCATAATTACAAGAAAGTGCTTTGGAAATTCAGATGAGAAAAAAAAATGATACTTCTAGTTTGTGAATAAAGGAAAAAAAATCCTTTAAGGACTTTGAGAGTTGGAGAGATTAAAGATAAGACATTAGAATAAGCTTCCAGCAGAGCACGTAGAAAAAAGAAGGAAAGACAAGTTCATGGTACGGTGATTGAGCCTGGTGCTTAATCGCAGACAAGGCTTCACAGGTTATATTAGGAAGTTAGCACTGAAAGCAGTCTGAGAGGTTTATCATTTTGGAAGCGATGGAGGGTCAGGGAAGGTTTTTGAGTGATGGATTCAAAATGATATTCAAGGAAGGTTTACTCATGCTGATCTGTGAAATGGAAAGTAGGCTAGCAGTTAGGATGGTGATAGCACTCACAGAAGGAGGGAAGGGGGTTTAAAGCTTTTAATCAGGAAACCAGACAGAAATGAGTCAGTTGCTGTAAGAGAATAGTGACAACTTTCCTTAAAATTACGGCATTCTTAAAATACTGACAAAGCTTTTTTTAAAAAAAAAAAAGTTACTAAGTCTTTTGTAATGTTTGATGTTTGAAACACTGTTTCTTAGGACCTTAAAAATGGAGCTGCTGCACCATGCCTATTGTCCCAAGCATGTACATTTTAACAGATAGCCCCCCCCCCCCGACCCCAGGCCTCCATGGGCTAAGAAGTAAGCTGATCTACAATTTTTGCCATGACAAAATAAAGGAATGGATCTAGGCAACTGTTCAGGCTACCCAGGCACAAAGCTATGAGATACATAAAGTACAAGCTGTCAGTGTTGTAGTAGTAGTTGTAGGCATGGTGAACGATAAGTATAATGTTGGTGGGAGCAAAGCATATTGTAAAAATCACAAGGATGAGGAGAATCGCCTTGATATACCTCAGCCATCTACGATCTTGTGCATTAAGTTTGCGGATGAGAGTTGTATAGCAGTAGATGATGACCACAAATGGAATTAGGAATCCAAAGAATGCTAAAGAGATGAAGTAGTAGAACTGGAAGGGAGATGGAGATGCACAGATGTTGTGGACATCATGGCAGGTGGTGACATTTGGCTGGACAAGATAATATTCCTGCTTCAGGATAAGAAATGGCACCATATAGAAGAAAACCATGACCCACACCAGGCCACACATGAACAAACTGAAATTGCGCTTGGGCAGCTTCCGATACAGGAAAGGATGGACAGTGGCCAGGTAGCGGTTGATGCCCATGCAGGTGAGGAGCAGGATGGAGCAGTACATGTTGCCGTAGAAGATGACTGTGGTGATCCGACACATGACCTCTCCAAACACCCAGTTGTTCCCATTAAGATGGTAAAAAATCTTAAATGGCAATGTAACACAAAAAAGAAGGTCTGCAATGGCCAGGTTGGTGTGGAAGATGATCAGACAAATGGATTTGGTCCTTGAGGAGAGTTTCCAAAGGGTCACAATGTTGGCTGGCACACCAACCACAAACACCAGAATGTAGACAGCAGGTATCAGCTTGGTGCTTAAGGAACTTCTCAGGTACCCAACAGTAGCATTAGTCACGTAGAGAGTTGAAACAGTTTCTTCAGGGCACTTCGTTTGTATAGTTGTCGTGGCTCCAGTCCAGCCCTCTATGTCAGAAAGTGGGAAGTCTTCAAAAGCACTTAGCGGATCTCCATTAAAGGTCTTAATAGTTAATGTTGGCTTTTCTGAGCTGTCTGCAACATTTCCTATACCTGCAATGGAAAGGAAACAGTATATTTGTTGCCAAGCCATATCTGTGATCTGAGTTAAAATAAAATGGTTTTTACTATATAATTTTTGTAGTTTTAGAACTTGGGGTCATTTTTATTTTTTTAAGTCAACCTAAATGAGGCAACCCACAGGCATGTATTTAGCATATATCATATGCCCCCAATACTGTGTTGTCCCATGGAAACAACTAGGTGACAGTTCCCTGCATGTAAGTTTATAAGTGTTGAGTGAAACAAAAAACGGCACAACAGAACTTTATAGATAAATGTTCTATTGATTAGAAGCGGTATAGGAATTCAGACAGTATAAACAGAGTCAAGCATTCAAGTAAACAGTCAAGGGAAAGATACATTTGAGCAAAACTCAGCAAGGCTTATAAAGAGAATTTATATATGCTGTCTGCAAGTAATTCTCAAGTAATTCTTAGCCCAGGGGAGAAGATGCATGAAAATGTCTTATGCTAATTAGGTACATCAAAAAGATGGGGTTGAAAAGGTAAGTTACACTCAAGTTCCTGAAAGGGCTCTAAATTCTTGTCTGAAGTTGTGGTCTGCTCATAGATGCTGGAGTTACACACACTCTTTTTTTCCAGTGCTGGTAATTGAACATAGGGCCTTTCAGTGTTTGTCAAGTGATCTACCCCTGAGTACATGACCACCCTCTGCATGCTCCTGGAACCTTTGAAGATGTTATCCTATGTGGAAAAGGAGACTTTGCAAATGTGATTTAGTTAGATGTTTGAAGATGGAGGCAGAATCCTGAATCAACTATATGGTTTAAATCAATCTTAAGAGACCTTATTAGGAGTGAGGTAAGAGGATAAAAGTCAGGTTTGAAATGCTATGCTACTGGCTTTGTAGATGAAAAAGGAGACATGAGCCAAGGAATGCAGGTAGTTTCTAGAGACTGTACAAAGACAAGAAAGCAGCTTCTATCCTAGAGCATCTAGAGGAAGCATAATCCTGACAACACCTTGACTTTAAGACTTTGGACCTCCAGAGATATCATTTTAAGTTCTCAGTATATGATATTCATTTTAAGCGCTCTCTCTTTATGAACATTTGTTATAGTCTGCATGGGAAATTGATATTACCATGATTTTGACTTGTTTAAGGTAAGTTTTGTGGCAGGTTAGAGAAAAGATTGTAAAAGTAAGAGATTAGAGGCAAGGGGGCCTGATTTGGGGCTGCTATAATCAAACTCAAAGGGCCATGAGTCATTGAACTAGAACAAAGATTGTAGAAAGGCTAAGATAAGCACAGGCTAAACAGGCCTCAAAGGACATGGTATCTGATTGGCTCTGGGGGAGAAGCAGGATGCAGAGGTTTCCACTCTAGATGACTTAGAAGAGGATACTATTCATTGTGATGGGGCAAGAGACAAGGGGATAGAATGAATGAGAAATTAAAAGATAGGTCTTGGGTGTGTTTGTTTGGTTTGTTGAGACAGAGTCTCACTATAGCCCAGGCTAGCCTCGAACTCATCACATAGCCCAAGCTGGCCTGAAACAATTCCTCCTTCTTCAGCCTCTTAAATGATGAGATATAGACATTGCGCTGTCATGCCTGGCTAAAATCTTAGTTCTTAGTATGGGTAGAACTGAATAGGTGGTGGGATATTACTGCGTAAAATATCCAGTGGAAGACTGAATGTGGAGTTCCCAAAGTCCAAGAGTCCAAATGGGAGGTATGATGCTTTTTGTCTGCTTAGAGGCCGTAACTTAATATGGGAGGAGTAACAGAGATGGTTTGGGGAAAGATGTGAGAAGATAAGAGTGCAAAGCCAGGCATTAGGGAAAATGCCAGATCTTAAGAGGCTAGAAGACAAGGAGAGAAAAATCAAAAGATAAAAGCACTGCAATGACCTAAAAAGCTGGAAATGAACTTTTTAAATAAAAGAAACACATCAGTTACATACTATAAATATTTGGCATGACTCAGCATGTTGATGTTAATTCCCCACTGATACTTTCAACAATAAACAAACCTTAATACACAAACCTATTTATCATTGCATAGTTTTTCCATAACTTAATCTTTGGCATGAATAGGAAGTAATTCTCTCTGATTTATATTGACCCTTCAGACCTTGTTGCCAAATTTAAACCTCATACTTATCAATCTGAAATGCTAGTATCCTACCAATTAGGTCTTGATATAAACCCTGAATTTCTCCATCTTACATATTAAAGAGCAGTGTTCCCTAGACTTCCTTCATTCAGAACCAGACTCCCTTCCTGGTTTCATCTTTAGTCCTTTGCCCCTAGGTGAGATTGAAACCTCCCTTAGAACTCAGTTTGCACTGACTGAATTCAGTGTGTCAGATAGAGGCAATGTCATCAGAATTGGGAACATGAATGTGACCAGGTATCACTTAAGGAAAGAATAATTTGGAGATGGCATTCTGTGCCTATGTTTAAATGTGATCTTTAGAGGTCTGTCCTGTGACATTTGAGCTCAGCCACACAAATCTTTCTGAACTCTCACATTTGGGTAAAGTTGTATCTGATGTCACCCAAAGAGAAGTGCCCCCAAAGAAGGTAAATGGGAATTGGAACAAGTTACTTACCTCCAAGGTCTGATAAGGCAGCTGTTGAAACCAAGTGTTTGTCAGTTTTCAGAAAGTCCTGTGATTGAACAAGACATAGTATCTCCAAACAAGCTGAACAATGTTTGTGGAGAAGTTGACTTGGTTCTATTTTCCATGAGATTCCAGATCTGGTCTCACATCTTTTCTTAGCCAGAATCTGACTTTCCTTAAGAATAGTGCTGCCAGACACCTGGGGAACCAATACTGCTTCCTGACACTTCTCACCCAGAGCAACCCAGTCCCTTTCTTGGGCTCCAGGAGCACCACTTCTGGTCCTGGCCCCCGCCCTCACCTCTTGCTGCTTCCCTGGGCCTGCACCACCGGCTAACTCTCCTAGCCTGCACTACTATCCTCAGGCCTCTTGGGGTAAGTCTATAGCGCAGCTCTCCACACCGGGACTCCCTAAGCCACATTCACCCTTCCATATCCATC